AAAGGAAGCTCAAAAAACACATCAGTTATCATCTACCTTCATTGTCATTCCACAAAAGAAGTGTTGTAGAATTTTAAAAAGAAGGATATGATCTCAAAATGTGACACTCTTTTAAATGGAATAAATTTGGTATTATAAAAAACTCAGCATATGTCCTTATTTTTCTCATCACAGTTGACACAGTCACAAAGTTTGTGAGCTCTGTCTGGTGAAGAATATGCAATTCACTGCAAATATCCTGTGCCTTTTCTTACATTCCATTTGCATATTTCTTTTCTTTTTTCTTTTTTTTAGACAGAGTTTCACTATGTCGCCCTCAGTACAGTGCTATGGCCTCACAGCTCACAGCAACCTCCAACTCTTGGGCTTAAACGATTCTCTTGCCTCAGCCTCCCAAGTAGCTGAGACTACAGGTGCCCACAACAACGCTCAGCTATTTTTTGGTTGCAATTGTCATTGCTGCTTTAGCTGGCCCGGGCCAGGTTCAAACTCGCCAGCCTCTGTGTATGTGGCTGGCACCCTACCCACAGAGCTACGGGCACTGCCCCATTTGCATATTTCTATCTGCATTAATTATGTGTCAGCCTGTACTCTACTTATATATCTCAAGTTTAAATTGCAGCTCTCTTATAATTTATCTTTGACATTCTTCCCCTCCTTTCCTTCCTCATTTTTTCTCCCATAAGAGTCTGTGCTTCTCTAGGGCAGCACCTGTGGCTCAAGGAGTAAGGCGCTGGTCCCATATACTGGAGGTGGTGGGTTCAGACCTGGCTCCGGCCAAAAACTGCAACAACAATAACGATAACAAAGTCTGTGCTTCTCTTTCCCACACAAGTGAGGGGGGTCATGGGAGAGGCACCCCTGGGCAGAATCACCTCTGGCATCCCTTCTGTGTTCCTCTTCTATATTAGAAAAAAGGTTTTTAAATCTATTTTTGCAGTTAAATGTGTGACAGTGCAAGAGAGATCTGCTGTCAGACAGTTGCTAAAAAGCCCTTTCTTAACACAGAAGCAAAAAGAAGAAAATGAGCAGAACGTATGAAATCTCAACAGACTTGTTTCTAAAAAGAACAGACATAATCCTCCTGTTAGGCTCTCCTTGCTTCCTTGGAAACTTCAGCAGGAAATGGACAGAGAGAGAGAGAGAGAGAGAGACCACCGAAGACTGTGGATTACATATTTCTCTGTTTTCTTGGAGGTGCACAGCACAGTTTTATGGGGAAGCCTCCGGATCATGTCTCTTACTTGAGATTTCTCAAAGTAGAATCTGGAAGCCCTGTGAAAATGAGAAAAAATAGTAGGATTGTGAAAAAAATCTGAAAGCTTGGATGATTAACTAGAAACCATGAGTCTGTAAAGAAAAACGTATCTCAGGCAATGGTGGGTTGGGATAGTGGAAAATGAAAAAAAAAGAAAACTTACATATCAAACTGGACTTGGAATCAGAAGATCTGAGTTCGGCCTCGACTCTGCTGCCTTTTCTGTCTTTTGAGCTTCAAGAAAATGAGGAAGTAGGATTAGGAGATCCTTAAGGTACATGTTGGCTTGAAAATTCTATGATTCTTAAAATATTCCCTTATAGATCAATTACATGCTGGAAGGAATTGGCAAGAAAGGCTGAAAATATAATCCCTTTGCCCCACCTAGTAAAATAATGAATCAGCTTTGTTCTAGGACATTCTGGAGAATTACAGGTCATCAGTAAAGAATTTCTTCACCCTTATAAACTACAGTGGCCTTGTACATTAGCACAGGAAAGAAACATTAACTAGTTTGAACAGAGCACAGCAAAATCACAAATGGTTATTGTGTTTCATTTTGCCTCAAAGTTTAGAAAAAGCCGAGCCTAGATTAAAAACCATATCTATTATGAACACTAAAATCATAAGTGAGCCTGCCTTCCAAGACCATGAAATTCCAGGACTTAAAAGAGAGTCTCACTGGCTGTCACCAAATGTCTTCTCTACCTACGATGAGATGCCTGAAATTTCAACTTTCAGTCTTCTGGCTTTGACCCTTAGGATAAGAGATACCAGTGGAGAAATGACAAAATCAGTGGCTCCCTTCTCAACATTTCCAGTAATAAGACTATCTTTTGCTACTATTTGTTCACCTTCTTGGGTTCCGTTTTTCATGGAACCAGTCTATCGAACAAACTATTTATTAATAGCCATCTATTTTCCCAATTTAATAACATTTCCCAGGGACACCTACTTGCCAGTCTGAGCTTCTTTTATGACAGTTCAATTATCCAGTTGATATAATCCCACCTAAAAGCAAAGAAAGCTAGTGTGCTAGCTAACCTGTGAAGTCTTTGAGAGGTTAACAATATAGTCACTGCTATTAGGTCTTTTGAATCATCAAAAAAAGTTTATAGACCTCCTTTCCCACACACTTTGCCTCTGTCATGTCATAACTACCCTCCTGAACCTACTGCACAAATTCTTACGGGTGTCAAGCAGATCAATGAGGGAAGCAAGCTAGAGGTAAAACAATAGGGAGTAGTGGGGACTGCGGCAAACAGAGAACACATCTATGTCTAAAAGAAGGCTGAGAGTTACCATCATGGACAGATCTTCTAGTTCTTTAAGAGAAATCAGAAAACTGAATTTTTACGTGTATTTCCCCTGACCTGAAAATGTTTTGTCTAGGCAAAGAAGAATCTCCTTACCCCAACATATGTCATTCTCTGGAAGGCAGGTTATAACTGAGTGTCGACTTGGGCTTTCATTATCTCATGGAAAGTTTTATAATTTGCACTCATAGCTTTCTGTGCCCCAGAGATCAGGTATGATCATGAGGAACTAAGTAAGAGGACAGTTGGTTATATTGTGCTGAGGACTTTCCCCGCATTATTTGATCCTATAAACAACCGTATGAAGTAGTCAAGATTGTCCCACTTTGAAGATGAGGATGTCTGGGCTCGGAATGCTTACCGAACATAGATAGAGTGACTAAGCCAAGATTCACACCCATGTTGATCCAAACCCTGGAGACTGGAAGAGAAGAGATATCACAGAAGGGGCAAAGGTTAAATAATAAAAACGGGCTCGGCGCCTGTGGCTCAAGTGGCTAAGGCGCCAGCCACATACACCTAAGGTGGCGGGTTCGAATCCCCAGCCCGGGCC